TAAATGTTACCAATCTCAAGCATGTCAATCACCCTCGCCTTTAATTTACCTTTTGAAACTTTAATAGATACTCAGTAAAGCACCTGTCAAACAAGATGAAGATGGCGATAATAAACGTGATGAGATGGCTGGATCGTTGTATTACATTACAACTGATGCAGAAGGTACATTTGGTGACTGGTCAGAGAAATGGTTTGTGTTAAGCGACCGCAGCTTGTATATGTACAACTCGCCCGAGGTAATTATATTGAATAATTTGGTATTGCGTTCGAGGGGTGTTTTGTGTGTAAATGTTGGCGGGAAAAACCCTGGCATTCAAGTTGGTAATATTATAAAGTTGACATGCTTCGATTTATATATGAAACACACTCTTCGCACAGTGTACACAGTCGCCAACACTAATTGTAAATACTGTTCTTAAACTGCACACGTTTGACCTATGTAACATGTATTCAGTCACTTTGTGCATGGGTTCTAACAAATACGTGATTTCTTTATTCTTATTTCTAGGAAGGTGGTCCCATTCAGACTATTCCACTATGTGAAGCGACACTGACGGAAACATCGGAAAGTGACTGGGGTGACAAGTCAACGTGTTTTCAGATGATGTATGAGAATATCCAATATTATTTTTCTGCCCAAGACGAAAATATTAAATCAGAGTGAGTTTCATGTCGATTATTAAAGTAATATCGGTAATGACCATATGAAATTAATTAGAAAACCCTATTATGTATCCAGAAACATGAATTACAGAACAATGTACGCATCATTTCCAATTATTATTGTTTTTCATTTTCTTCGATCCAACCGTTTGGTGTATGTAACTGAGCAATATGGAAAAACACGGTTTAACTTTCTTGCTATGAGCTTCGTTCACGAAAAAATATCCGCCGTCTTTAAAATATAAAAACATAAGACAATCGTATGTATTGTACCCTGTGCAATGTCGCGACATGATTACACGTGGAAACTGAAGATGATACAATGACTACAACTGACCCGTTCTGACCTATCCGTAAAGTATAATAGTACTAATGTACATGTAAATCTGTATTTCCATGTCCAACAGCGCGTAGTAATTGTATGGTGTTGTACGGGGTATCGGTAACCCACCGATTATTGTAGTATGGAACGATTTCAAGATGGCGGACATGTTTGAAATCAAAATTCGTGGCAATAACGTTTAAATAGATTTCATCATTATTCATACCCCAAATAGTTAGATTGGGGAGATGTACGATGACAGAATTATTATGAGGACACTGAAAAGTGCCCATCTATAGAATACGCGCACTCGTAGACAGATGTGCGTACTTTGCGGTATTTATGTAATTTTATATTCCGTACAATAATGATTCAGTTACTGAAATAACTCGCATTTTTCATTTGTAGGTGGTTTGAAAAAATATCGAAGTTCACGAGTTGGAAAGAAGATGGTACAGACTAGAATACCGTATCGATTTTTCAAATACATTTATTGTCTAGCATATGCTTTATACTACTAAACACTATACATGTATACGTATTTATAGTGAGCATTATTTCGATACCGTAGTATACACGTGTATTGTTGTATGACGTAAAATAGTAAACAAATGAGTTTCTACAGTTACGAAAGCATCAAATCTGACTCGTTTTGACACTTCCAAGGCATTCTTAATTTGAAACGACAAATCATTCCCCGAATCGTAGCATATTATTTTTATAGTTTAATTCTAATTCACGCGTTGCGTCTCAACTGAAAATAGTGAATTTGAATGTACATACCTCTGCCCGGGAAGCACAGAAACATGCAAACACGGTAATCTCTTTGATGTAAAAATAAGATATAGACGATTCTGAACTGTCACGTAATATAACAACGCTATCTAAGATACATCGCGCGGATTATCATTATATTCATTGACATAAATGCATGTCTCTTTATTTCCTCATTGATTAGAGATCAAGCAAATGCAGAAATCCACAACATATTTTGTTAGAGAAATAGAGATCATGTATACCATTTCTATTGATAATTCTTAGAAATGAACTCATATAAATGTAAATCATGTATCAAAGAAAGTAAATAATAAATAAGTATTTACCAGGTACTTTAGTAATGATAAATGTTTCAGCAATCAGAGATCAGCGCACAGCTGTTGAATACAGATAAGGTAAAACAAAAGCAAAATACTCTAAGGTTGCTATAACTGGAAAGAATTCTTATCTATTCTTACGGCAACAAGGAAGTATCCGAATGTGACAGTATACAATGGTTTTACTAGAAACTACTAGGACTATTGTAAACTTGTGTCCTTAAATGATACACAACGAATGCAATATTGCAATAAATCTACAATACCGTAATATTAAAAGGCACTGGTCATCGCGCTGCGTATGTACGTCATTTGTGTTGATAAACATTCATTATCCCACAATCCAATCGGAATGTAAATCGGAAGTACGAGTTTTACACTGATCGCAACGTGCACTAATTACCATCGATGACCATAACTATCCATTTTGTACTCGTTTATATGACACGCACAATAATAAATGTCCCAGACAATATTTTCTACTTCCTACTTGATGCTGAATGTCATCCAAATAAAGGTTTGGTGGATATGTGTGACAGTCTAAAACCAACGTGATTCGGGTGGTCGGATTTTTCTACACAGAATAATATTAGGTTTAGTTGAAATCTCAACGAGTCGTTATACTGGAAATAGCTTCATTCAACACAACGGCAACACCAGACTGAAATGTCTACCCGCCAATCCACACAACCACAACTTTCGGATACGACTTCTGAGACTCATTAAATGTCCCTGCAAACACAATTTCTCCTGCTACTGGAATATCATAACATCCATAATCAATTTCACTCAGGTTTTAGGATAATTTTAATTAAGTAAATTTAACAGCAGAATTGACCTTCTCACACACACGAAATTAATTTGACTATTACACATCAAACCTCCATGCTGACTACCCTGAGACATGCAGATGTATTAATGAACAAAGTCATTCTAACACCATACTTAGATGGGCGCTGTCACTATAACCCGTCATATAGACACATACAAAATATAATCAAGCATCCAATGAAATGTAGCAGAGATATGTCAAATTTGAATTTAATTATGTTGGATAAATATTTTGCTAATAATAAAAGATACAGACAAACGAATATAGGTTCTGATACTCATTCATCTAATATTATTTTCAGTAAAATATCCTTCGATATGTTTGACTGTCGGCATCCTTTATTCGATGTTTTTGTCATATTACCTCAAACCCTGCAAATAGAAGTGTGCATGGAATCATAGGAAGAAACGATGTGCATTGCCGTGTGATAACTGTCATAAAGGTGATTGACAGGTCATACTTGTTTACCACTCTGGAAGGACAATTTTAATCTACCAGGTGTGCTTGTGATTTACATAATAAAAGATGTTTGCGATCTACTGACTTGCCTACGTGCGACAACTGCTAGCATGACCACATTCTGATTGGCTCATGTGGAAACCCAGGTGGTCTCCCCGAATCTGGACCATTTATGCCTATAAATTGGCTAGACTGAGAACAATTTGGGTCCTTCATTTCATGTTGATAAACATGCACATTGCACATCTATTATTAGCCCATTTCTGATATCTAAAAAATCAGATTTAAATTGAATTCATCACAGAGGTGCTCTGGAATAAATTAGACTGAAACCATGGATGAAAAATCAAATGTATTTTCTGTATGTATTATAAATTTTGATAATGTGAACCACATTTGTTCATGTTATGCATCTCAAATAACAGACAAAATTAGTTGCCAAGCTTTTGGTTCGAAAAGCAAATCTTAAATTTTGAATTATCTACAAGTATCTCTAATACTCTCAGTACACGGGAGTTCTTTCTAAGCTTTCTTTGATTTGAAATGACCAGCCGCCATGTTGATTTTATTTTTAAGTATCCCCACTGATTTTTCTGTCACTATTTGTTTTTACCGATTTTGTTTGTGGTTCACAGGCAGGCCAAAATATATACTGTTATAGCTATGTTGAGTACAAACGAAATCGGTTTTATTTACAATGATAGTTTTTCAACTGGAAATTCATTGTTTTCATCTTGCATTCGTTTGTATGCGAGTCTGTCGCTGATTTGATTATGTATTGACAACTCTCTTGTAATTCTGTTTCAAGCTTCGCTGTTTATCGAAATGCAGCGCTATTCGCAAATTTATCCACCGTTTGTTTGACAAAATCGGTAGCAGTAATTGTTCAAGTGAAACTCGACTCCATTTGATCTATTATATGATTTAGCTCATTCTAGGCACCAGGCATTTTACCTATTTATTTATTAATTGAAATTGAAATGTTTTATAAATAATGGCTAAATAACTTCAATTATTTTCATTTCGTATTGATTGTATATAGAGGGGGCAAACTGTCCCGATGTTGTGTTAGCTCTGTCAAGATAGAAATGTTCCTCGCGTTCTTATCTAGTGTCGTGGTGATGTTCAAGTGGCCGAAAGTAATCAAAATGAATGGGGTGAATCTTAATAAGTAAGATTATGAATGACTGTAGCGACGAAGAGTTTATGAGGTTCAAATATATCAAGAATATGTAGTTGTGAAATTAGATTAGCTGAATTGTCGTTGCGTGGCTTAAACAACATTGTACGAACTATATATTTTTGGGCAATGTGAAACTTTCACTTCACAAGTGGCACATCAGTAAAACACGCACACCATTCGACCCTTTAAAAACCCTTTAATGAACCAAGAATGAGAATACAATTCTTAGTATACACCCAACAACCAAACCCACGACTTTAACTTAATATGCGTTTCGATGACAGTAAGCTTGGTTTATAATATTCATATAGTACCACCAGTTACAGTCTGTCACCGTCAGGGCTTTGTACATTAACATCTGCAAAACAGAAAACACATTTTAATGCATCACTCGTCCGATAGCTCATTATAATATTCTTATAATAAACACTTTTGCGATTAATACTTACTGTTTGCCAGGAACTTTCCAGCTTTCTCCAAACTCAATAGCATCTTTTACAATAACACCATCGGGTCTCAGGAAGTCATTTTTGGCATTACCGTCAGCATTACCAAGCAGTCCACACATTTCCCCGCGATAATAATCACCAGTAAATTCGATATTGAAAACGTGTTTCCTCCCAATCCAGAATATCTTGAATGTTGTATCCTTCAGCTTGAAAGTCAATAATGCCATGTCGCCTTCCTGTACTATGCTTATATTGTTGAGACTGTCTTCACGCACCTACATGAAAAGTTAATCACGTTAGTGTATGATTAATACCTGAAGTAATATTTTAAAATTCTACTTGTGCATTACAACCTAGTCGCTATAGGGTTCACTATATATTATTGAACTACGTTTTATGGTGCAGTGTTGTGGCCCAGTAGTTATCATGTCTACCTGCCGTTGTGAGGCCATTGGTCTTGTTCGAATCTTGTCTTTCATGCTGTCACATTTGTCTTTGTTTTCATGTACAATTTATTAGTACAGATGTTATACGATTAGTTGTCAATTTACAAAAAATGTACTTACACTCGCAACATTATCCTGATCAACGACAACGCTTTCATCTCCAACTGTAACATTGATGGCAACAGCTCTGGTTCTAATTTGATCACCGATATCGTTTCCTGGTGCTAAATCAGCGGTAATTTCAAACTGAGGGTTGTTGCTGGAGCAGTCTTTTACAAGTGTATACCAACACATGCCTTGAAAACTGTAAGCACGTCCGTCTAAAGTGGTAATGTGAGGATCATGTTTCGGGCCTTCAGTGAATGAATATGGAAAAGATAGATCAGAACTTATTTTCAAAACTTTTGTTACATTAAATGATTAATATCAACATATTATCAAAGAGTGTTACATAATTTATACTGCCTCTTACCAGTACACTTGCATTCATTGGGATACATGGCTGCCTTAACTTCAGCTTCATTCAATGTTCCATTGTAAATTTGTATACAAGTTATGGAACCATTAAACCATTCTTGAGGAAGAAGTGCAGCGCCGGCTTGTGCATCATATTGAGTTGCTATTTCTCCTTCAAAGGGTGCCGATTCCAAATTCCCATTGATATACAAGTGCCCCTTGTCATTCTCATAGTCGTAGACAACAGCCAGGTGATACCATGTATTCAACGCTGGTATTTCCTGTTTTAATGGTGTCACTGGAGTTCCATCGTGTTTGGTAAATTTCACGCTTGCAGACAACCCAGCTGCATTATTATCCATCACTTGCGATATTTGAACACCCTCATCCTGCAATGACGAATCGAAGTAGAAAATAGGACCTGGATTACCATATGGACAAACCCATGCCATGATAGTGGTTGACCTTGCAGTGTCGAAATCACCATTATTGTTTGGAAAAATAAGATACGAGCTGGGATTACCGCGGAATTCATAAACGTTGCAACTTAGGAAAGTTTTGTATGTCAACGTTACATTGCCCCAAAGGTCGATTGCATCATTCCCGTTACCAGACTTGTCCTGAAGAAGATGTATGTCATTCAACGGCCAAAATGCTACAAGGTCAGGTACTATTGAAAAACAAAATATTCGTTAAAGTATATATAAACACTTCACAGTCAGCTGGCGCACATCTGATATAATAAAATAAATGCGATATTTACTATATGGGGGCCGCCATCTTGAATGACGCATAAAACTAAATAAGAGACAAGTTGTGAAACGCGTTTTTCAGATTCCTACAAATCAGGACAAAAATACCAATCTTTCACAAAAATACGGTCCGTTGGGGTTATATTAAGCCAACCGATAACAAAATTCGGCCGAATTCGTCGTTTTTGTGTGGAAAAATCCCTTGCATACGAACACCTAATTACGCGAAGAACATAGAACACTAAGCCGGGGTATTTGAAGCTAAAAATTGGCATTCCAGCACATCGGCCAATCAGCGACGGCCTAACGCTTAGATGACACAATATACTCAGTTTAACATATCAACACATAAAATAATATAATTCATGTCACCATGCTGAAAAATATAGTTTGAAAACAGGATAATGCCACTACAATGAAAACATATGAGGCCCCATGAGTTAAGCCATATTACCATGTGTTGTGATCAGGGAACATTTCTCGTCCGAATGTTTGGAACAAAAGATTGAACAACGAGATACCTGCTATCTCCGGAGCACTTCTTCATACAGTAGCGAGGGGCATGTTGTGAGTAGTTCGCATGTGCCTGTATTATTACACCTTAGCATCACCTTTCGGGAATTCACAGATTCCCACTGTAATAGTATGATCTTATCAAATGTGTCGAACCCTACTGCAACCAGTGTCTAGATGGCAAAATATTTTTAAATGTTTTTTAAAACCTTATATTTATAATGATGTCAATATATCCCTATTGTAAATTTGAGAGCTTTGATCTCTGCTACTGTATTAACACAAAACACTCTATCCCCAGTCTGGGAACGGCTATTGCCTAAGGTGTGAATCACCCGCTGTGCTTGGACTGCGCTGGGTATGACTTTCCGCGAAGCATAGTCTCTTGATAGCAGAACATTCCATTAAAACGATCGTTTCATTGTTCCCTTTATATTCTAGTTTTTACAATAGAAAAACATATATATATTGATAATTTATATAGATTTAGAAGCTCAACACAATTCTTTAGCCGGCAAGTTTTTCTATAGTGGTATATTGACATTATTATTCGTGAATATCGCACTTAAATTTGAGGTACTATGTCAGGGGTCGCAACTTGGAACACTTCTAACAATCTTTACCGGTTGAGCCCTTCTAGTCATCATGTGTTTTAGAAAGATCAAAGTTTTTATTGGATAGCTTAAACCTAGTTGTAGTTGGTAGATTGGTCTATTGTGCTTGTTTTATTATATTATATACAGTATACGTATCATATTTTTGCATCACTTTTTCCGTTCAAAATAAAGATGGCCTCTCGCCGATTCATTGCCATTCGAATTTTCGTGTCATTACTTTTGTTTCCATGCATATATTTGGTAAGTAGTTTACAATGCTGGTGACATCATGTCTCTAATAATAACATCCTGCAGTATCAGTTCTTTAGCACTGCCAGAAATTGAGTAGGCAGACCTTTTTTTGCCCCGATGAGAATTTATTTACGGGCGCCATTTAGTTTTTGATCACAAACATACTCGACGCGTTGTCAGAGGGTTGGCCCATTTTATAGTAAGAAAACTACGCTCAACCATAATATTTTTTTCAATGTGAATATATATGTACATTTACCTTTTGGTGATGAGGTTAATTTTTTTTTCGGATATTCATATTTTGACAAATCACGATTATATGTTCTTTTCTATTTGCAGTTTGTGATTGCAGTGCTTAAGTTAATATACGCTCAGCTTCGTGGCTAAGTGTCCAAGGTGTGAACGGTTTATTTACCCGCAACCAGCCTGCGAAGCGTTTCTAGATAGAGGGACTGTGACACAAACCACCCAATGATGGTGTAAATGAGACATGAGTATCCAAAGAAGGGACTCAACATGTTTGCGCAGTTCCTCATTTTGGTAGAGGTGTTGATAACATAACGTGTGCATGAAGACAGTGTTCACATAGGTACAGGTGATGTTGAAAAAAATAGACAATATTGAGAAGTGGGCTTTGTGGGAATTTAGAAAGTAAATAACGTCTGAAAACATATTCCAATTCTAGTCGATGATGGACTGGCAAATATTTCTCAACTATTACAGGTCTGTAAATCGTGGAATACTGTCTGCGTCCAGACAATTTGTAAAGTTAGTAAAATTAAAAATTTTCAAAGTTTCAAAATTGTTACTTCAACCAAACACGATGAACTTGATTGCAACATTTGAGATGTTATTATAATTTAAAACAATAGACGGTTCAAAATGATTTCTAACATTGGAAATTTAGTTCATATAATTAATGTTGTAGTTTGAAGTAGGAAAGTAAAGCAAATGCCTGACAAACAAACAAAAAGGTAGAAACATAAAATAGTCGAATTATTAAGACATGTAGCTCATGGTCAGGTCTTTCGAAAAAAAAGTTTTGAGACACATGAAATTCATGATTCATCGCCATTTTAGACAGGTTTTCCATCATAACCAAATACACAAACATTTGTTGATAGTTTGGTTTGTGATTCCTGTTGTAGGACCTTTTCACCCAATTGAATGTCACTTTCTCTAACAATCCTATGTGCAGGACTATAACTTAAATAGGATATCAACATCGTCATGCCATAGTGGACTATTGACTGATTTCAAACAACGCGGTTAACCACGAGCTATGAATCGCGAGTCTAAAATAAAGGCATCCTGTATCTCACAATCATATCAAATCTCCTGTCATATTAAGCAATGTTCTAAGGCTGTTGCAAGATTGAGTGTTTGTCTGGCTGAAAAGATTACTAGAGCATAACAACTTGTACCTGATTCCCAGGTGGTCTTGTCTTGGGAAGTAGAATTACCATAACTTCTAGATGGGGCATGCAAACAACATTTATAGTCTGTGTAGTGTGAGCCCCCTTTTTTAGGGTATTTCATAAATTTCATGAGCCTGTATGACCTTATCATCGGATATATTTTATGCTACCCACGCAACCAGTATTTGTTGTATGGAGCATTTGATACCCCACCCCTGTTTAAGTGATGTCCATGACTACACCACCAATTGTTATTCTACTGTAGTCACAATTTGTGATTTGTCATTTTGAGACTTTAAATGCATACACATCTCTGAAAACACGGTTGAGACTCTCTACCACTGAGAACTTTTTCACTTTTTCTCCTGTTCAAGCTTGTTTGCTATGTTTTGTTTTGAAAATTACCACAACATATGTTCCCCTGTAAAAACCGTCCTTGCAGTCACAGCGGAATGTCTTAATTTGTTACCCCTTTATAAGTTTCAAGCATCTGGGTTGTCTCGTGCCGTATTTGGTTAATTTCTTTTTTTAAATCACCCACCATAATATTAATTGGTATGATAACACCTTTTTATTACTAGTTAAAATTCTAATTTTAATTTATTTGATACAGAAAAACATTGTCGAATTGCACACAAGAATTCACAGAAAACACTTCAAAGGAGCAATGGAAGTCTTGAGTGAATTGACAGAGAGATACAACATTGTTTTACAATACAGTAGTAATATTTCACATTTTGATGTTAATATGTATGCTGATGATACAGCTTTTTATTTCAAGGACAAAGATAACGTTAAGGTCACAAGTGCTCTAAATGAAGATTTAAAAAATGTACATACATGGCTATGTGCCAACAAGCTCAGCCTTCATGTTGGCAAAACTAATTCTATACTGATATGTATTCACCAGAAAGTACGTCATTTACCAATAACTACCCTTAATGTAAAGTTAGATCAATCTAATTTAGAACAAGTTAGGGCTTTAAACTATCTTGGTGTTTCTATAGATACCCACCTCAACTTTGATGAACACTTTAACAGTATAAATAAAAATATAAATAGAGGTCTGGGCATTTTAAAACGCTGCTCTCCATTCACCCCTTTCCAAACATGTAAATCACTTTTTTATACTCTAATTTTACCATATATGGATTACTGTTCAACCGTGTGGTCAATATCTTCTGGTAAGAACATCTCCAGATTACAGAGACTACAAAATCGCGCAATGCGAATTATTTTGAAGGCTGGTCCTCGGACCCATATTGAGGACATGTTACGATGGATGAGTGTTAAACAGCGAATCCATTTTAATAAGATGGTTTTAATGTGGAGAGTGTCCCATAATTTGGCACCTGGGTATCTTATTTCAAAATTTAAATATCTTAGAGAAGTGCACTCATATGACACAGTTTCAAGTGTTTCAAGTGACTTTAGGGTCCCATCTGGCCACAAGTCCTCTCTCACTACTTCAGAGAATGGAACTCTCTCCCCCAGCAAATGTCTAATCACGATACGTTTGCTGGTTTTAAGAAGTCATGTTCTCAGTATATTTTACAAAATACTGGTAAATTTTAAAAATATTCTAATGTAATTGTAGCTTGTATATTTGTATATATTTTTATAGCTTTTTTTCTGTATTGTATTTTAATGTAATATTTTAAATGGCTCCTTGTAAAACAGCATTTAGCTGACAGGATTCCTAATAAACTTTGAACAAGATAATATTGACAATGAAAAACAAGATTTCTGTAGACGGTAATGTTTTCTTGGTATTCGGACACATATAATGAAATGTGTTACTGTGAAGCTTGCACAAAGCAGTTCACTATACAAATAGTGAAAATTAAATCAGAGGTACATCAGGATATTGCAGACAGAGCAGCGGCTACAGGTAAAACACAGTTGAGAGCAAAAGCAAGTTGCAAATGACCCATAGAAAACAGCACTACCTTATTGCTACAAGCTGTTGTTTTGTTTTTTTTCATTGTATTTGTGCTACGGACATACAAGAAATTGCCAAATTCAAACGTTACAGAAAAATGAAAATACACCTACGTATTTACTTAGCCAAATAACCATAAAGCTGTATTGTATATTATCAGGTACTGTACCAGTTTTCTAACCCGTGTTTTTTCATGATGAAAATAATCACAGGACTGCCGTACATTTGACGGCTCTGACTATCCGAATATTGAACAGAAAACAAATACATTTCATAATTTCGACGTAGTTTATAGCTCGCAAAAAAGAAAACAGCAATAGCGGTCAGGCGTAAAACAACTATACATCGCTGATTCAAGTGCCCTAGGAAAGCAGAAATTAGCATACGAATAGCTGAATCAGTGGACAGAAACGCAATGTATTCTGGGTAAAGCGATGTAAAACAGTGTCACACATCATGAAAAGAATAATCTGAGAGAAATGAAGATTTCCAGGTTTGCTGAAACTAATAATTATCTACTTACAATGTTTAGGTTTTAGTATTTTAGCACAGTGTTAGTCTTGCTTTGTTAAATGCTGTAAATGAGTTTCCTTGTGTACTGTACCAGCTGTAGCAATTACATTAAAGACAAAAAACAATAGTCCTACACCTATCTACTCGTTTCATCATTTATGATGGCGTCTTGGTTTGTCTGGTTATTATTTAACAGCTAGTAATATCATAACTGAAGTATTATCATACCTGCCATTGTCAGTGATTGATTAATTTTGTTGAAATTTTGAATAATTCCCTTCATTATTCATGTCTTGCTACAACATTATTGGGAGTCAATGACAAGCAAACATGGCTAATTTAGCTATGAAAAGATACTGACATTTATATGCAGAGGCGGCGGCACGAAATTGTGCATGGGTAGGCGATATCTGCTCTCCAACCCTCGCGCCAAAGGCGCGACCTTACTATGGGGATTCTGGGCATGCTTCTCCTTAAAATATTTGAAATCTATACCCTCTGAAACGCTATTTCCGGCATTTTGACACAAATGGTTCCAGGTTTTTTTGAGGGGCGACGCCCTAAACATTTTTTCTAGGGAGCGACCGCCCCTCTGCCCCCGCCCCCGTGCCGCCGGCCGCTACTTATATGGTGTATAATTAGAATAAAAATAACGTACCAGAAGGGAAATTTAATTTTTTTTTCTGTTGTCAAGTGGGAAACCATCAATTTTTGTTTCTTGAGCAATGAAATATATTGTAAGACTTGTCTGAAAAGGCGTGCCATCATGCTGATTAGTATAGAAAGTCAAATTTCTTATTCAATGTTGTTATGTGCCGGAAAAAATCACCATCATTCTGATATTATGTCATGAGACTCATTTTTCCATGCCTAACAGTCGTTATGTGGTACAGCTTGTCTGTGCACCAACCTGATAATAATCAGACTACACCAAAACAATACCGGTGAGCGGGTGTCCAGTAATATAAGCCCATTTTTTGAGCACAATTGCAGGATTGTGTCGAAGATTACAATAATCTTATGAGTATGATTGGCAGAACTAGCATCATGTGATATTGTTTTTTTTAGGTTTCAATAACATTTTCCCTAATTTTTGTATGATGCCGGTTATAATTTGGGCTATTGTGGCTTAAACAACTTACTATACTACACTATACTATACCACTAAATTACTAAAAAACAGAAACGAATCAATAATTATCCTGATACGCTCTAAGCAATACAAAATAATATATAACAAATATGGCTATATAAAAAATAAGTAATTTTCTCAAAATTTTTGTATGGTGTCACAGGTTCAACATAAGTGTTGGCTACCCGAAAATTAAAACACTAAATTCGGACAGTCACGTTTCACTGGTAAAATACTTCATAAAATAAACTCACAAAGGTGCTCGCATCAAAGCTGGTTAACGTCCAATCGCAGAGTCATTCTTCTTACCCTTTTGCGGGAGCCATTTCTATAGCACTCTTGACTATTTTTTGCGTGCTGGTACGTGCTGAATAGTGACGTTATAAAACCAACATCGCAAAATATTTGTTCTCGGAGCGGTACTGAATTCTTTATTTTAAGGGAGATTCCTGTAGATCCCTATCACTCAAGCTAAAGGCAGCATCGATGGCAAGAAAGTTAATGCAAATCTCACTGATTGGAAAGGGGACC